GCCCTGTGGCCCCCAGCCACAGGTGGACGTTCAGATGCTATGGTTGTTACAGGAACAGCCCCCAGGTGTGGTCACACCCCAGCGATGCCCTGGAGCTCCTGGTCTCAGGTGAGGGCCCCTCACTCTGTCTCTCTGCTTGTCAGCTCAGGGTCCAGTCCTCAGAACAATCATGGGCTGAAAGGGGAGTGAGGTGGCTGTAGAGATGGTCACTTGGAAAGTGACCCTTAGCACAGCCTTATCCCTGTTCACCCCTCTCCGTCCTCTGTTGCCAGAAGGTGTCTCTAGTGGGCAGTTGGAGGGTCTTAGTGTGGGGACCCCTGGCAGATGCAGGAGATGTCTGAGTGAGGTGGGAACTCCAGAGTCAGCCCCAGCCTCCCACCTCTCCTGTTCTCCTTCCCAGGACCCTCTGGGGCCCCAGCTCTGCACACACAGTGTCCTCTTTGCTCAGATGGAGACAGGCCACCCCAGGATGTCTGAGTCTCTCAGAAGATCTAATGACCCCCATATACCTAAGGACAGGCTTGTGTCCTTAGTCAGGGAGAGATCTCAGGGGAGGTGGTGGGTGCCTCCATGGGGACAGGGGCTGAGCCATGTGATGGTTCTGGATCCTCCGAAGTCTCTCACTTGGACCTGCCCTTCCCCTGCCAGGCCTTCCGTGTCTCCAAGTGTTAAAAAGGTGAATCAAGGCCCACATCTTACATTTCCTCTCAGTTCTGGCCCTGACCTCCTGGGAGAAGGGCCTCACAGGGAAGCCCCCAGGACGTGATGTTATGGGGCCTGTCCCCTCTGTCTCAGCGACTTTGACACTGTACAGGGAGGGACAGGCAGGACAAGGGTCCAGGCACCCAGTCCTACCCCTCAGATCAGGCTCAGCTCAGTGGAGGAAACAGGGTGGATTAGCCCTGGTTCATCTCCTGGCTCTGCTGCTCCTGCTGTGGGGCTCTTGGACACACCCTTCCTCTGTCTGGGCCTCAGTATCTCGAACTGTAAAAGGAGAGAATCCTTGTGCAGAGCTTAGATTTCCTGTCAGTTCTGGCCCTGACCTCCTGGGAGAGGGGCCTCACAGGGAAGCCCCCAGGACGTGATGTTATGGGGCCTGTCCCTTCTGTCTCAGCAACCTTGACACTGTACAAGGAGGGACAGGCAGGACAAGGGTCCGGGCACCCAGTCCCACCCCTCAGCTCAGGCTCAGTTCAGAGGAGGGAACAGGGTGGATCAGCCCTGGCTCAGCTCCATGCTCAGCTCCTGGCTCTGCTGCTCCTGCTGTGGGGCTGGGCGGTCCCTTCTCTCCTCTGAGTGTTGGGTTCCTGTCTGCTCATCCCTGGTCCCATCCTGCTCACAGGCTGTTGGGAGATGAGGTGACTTTGGGCCTCACAGAACTCAGGAAGGCAGAGCCCCCAGACCAGCCCAACCTTCCCAAGGGGTTTCAGGGCCTGCAGGTTGAAGATGGACCTGGGAGAGACTCAGAGTCCACGCCACACCCTTCCCCTCCGGTCCCTGCTGTGCTGGAGGCAGGCACTGAAAAAGGACCCTCAGCACCAGATGAGACGTGGACAGGCCCCCGCAGAGGAGGAGCCCAGAGCACGAAGCTGGTGTCTACCTGGGGGGCAGCATGAGGACAGCACTGGGAACTCACAGTCCTGGGTTCTAGTCTCAGCCCTGCGCCGTCCAGGCCGTGCAACCTGGGGCAGGTGATTAACCTCTCTGAGCCTCATTGAAGTGGGTGGTGGGGTCAGCATTCCTGGTGCATGAGGTGAGAGGAGATGAGTGACAGACCCCAGCAGGAGCCTCACACACAGAAGGTACTCATCATAAAATGGCATCACTGGCTCATTCATGACGTCATGAGGGGGAGACAGGCTGCCAGGTCATTCATTTCTGATTTCTTCCCTGGAATCATCCCCAAACTCTCCATCTAGGCTGACTCAGGCCCCATCATCACCAAGGGGAGCCCATGACCATCTGGTGTCAGGGGTCTCTGCAGGCTAGTGCCTACGTTCTATATGAAGAGAGGGGCTCTGAGCCCTGGGATATGAGAATCCCACAGGAGTCCAGCAACAAGGCTAGTTCCCTCACCAAGAGGGCAGAGAGGAGCTGGGAGGGGTCACAGACAGTGTCTCTGGAGAAGGACGAGGTCCCTCAGCTCAGGGTCAAGGGTGTGAGGGGAGGGGTGGCTCTCTACATATCACAACCTTCCTCTCCCCAGGAATGTACAGGAAACCCTCCCTCTCAGCGCAGCCGGGACCCTCAGTGGCCTGGGGAGCGACCCTGATGCTGCAGTGTGGGTCTGAAATCTGGTTTGACACCTTCCACCTGCACAGGGAGGGGTCACTGGACCCTCCCCAGCACCTTCGTCTGCAGGACAGGTCTGCACCCTCTCAGGCCAACTTCACCCTCAGTCCTGTGACCTCAGGCCACCAGGGGACCTACAGGTGCTATGGCTCACACAGCACCTCCCCCTACCTGCTGTCACATCCCAGTGACCCCCTGGAGCTGCTGGTCTCAGGTGAGGAGCCCTGACCCCGTCCTTTCTGTGCTCAGTCAGCTCAGGGCCCTGTCCCTAGGAGTGTGGGTGACAGTAATAAACAAGGAGGTGGAGGAGGTTCCACAGAGCAGGGTCCAGCCCATGAGAGAGCAGAGACAGTCAGGACCTCCCACTTCTGAACCCACTTCTAATCCTCAGCAGAGATGAAGGGTAGGGAGGGCGAGTGCGATGTGAGTGAAATGAGCAAGAATGTGATTAGACTGAGCAGAGAACACAGACAACCCCCCACCACCACTCACCTCCTGACATCTTCATCTCAGAATCTGGCTCCCTGTAGTCCCAGCCTCAAAATACTCCTCTATAGAGTAGCATCCTGCCTGTGGGCACCACACTGTATGGCCCCCTGTGCTCACCTGGAGGCCTCCAGCCCCTCAGTGCTCACCTGAGAATAGGAGGGACCCTTCAGGGCTCATGGGGGACCTGGGACCTGCTGCCCAGACTCTGTGCATTCACCTCTGCTCAGTGTCTCTGTGCACACGGGTCTATTATGGCTCCTTTTAGAGAACCTTCAGGCAATACTTCAGTCTATAAGCTCACGATTTAACTTACATTATATGGAGTCCACATAGAAATATAAATATCCTATTCCTCTTTTCAATGGGAGTAGATTAAATTCATACATTTTTTATGGAGAATAACTTCTTGTTTATGGAAAGTCTTCTTATCACGCACATTTGCAAATGAGCTTTAGGCATGAACCTTAGAAGCATGCTAGCTATTTGTAAAATTGAGTAAATGCCCAGCCCACTTAGAGAATTGCACAACTAACATTGTAATTTGTGAGTAAGCGGTGTGATTCCTGTACATTTTCTAAATGGTAGTAAGTGCACATAGGAAAGCTCTTGGTTTGGGCATAGTTATCTCACGACCTGTTAGCCTCCCAAAGACTCTCTCCCTGTGGACTGTTTTTCAGTTGATCCCTCCAACATCTTGATAAAATTATAATAGCCACCACGCCAAGGAAATGTCACTTCTTTATTCCCAATTGGATACCTATTTTTCTCACTCCACACCTAAAACAATGAAATGAGGGATTAAAATTTTCCAGAGTTTCCCCTCTGGAAATCAGCTTAACTCACACAGAAAGTTAAGTCAAGGCAAACCCATGAAGAATTCTACATTTTATATCAAAGGCACTATTGGCCTCTTTGTTCCAGTCTGTTCTTCTGCTGCATTAGGGTTCACTAGGAATGCTTTTTTCCCTGCCACATACACACCCCCCCATTATTATCTTTTCTCTGACTTATAACCACATGACACACATTACTAAGTTTTCTTGGTGTCAACCATTTGGATATTAACCCAACTGAGTAACACTGATCATTGATGTGCATTTCTGAATTCTGGGAGCTGGGATTAGAATTCTTGACAGCCCCTAACCACCCACCTGCCTACCCTATCATCCTTAACTGCCTCTGCCTGCCTGCCTGATGCCCCTAACCACTCTGCCTGCCTGCCTTATGCCCCTAACTGCCTCTGCCTCAGCTCTGCTGCCACAGCTTTGTCTAGAACAGCAGTTCTCAACCAGTGGGTCACGACCCCTTTGGGGGTTGAACAACCCTTTCACAGGGGTCGCCTACGACCATCTTGCATATCAGATATTTACATTACAATTCCTAACAGTAGCAAAATTATAGTTATGAAGTAGCAAGGAAAATAATTTTATGGTTGGGGTCACAACATGAGCAACTGTATTTAAAAGGACAGAAGGTTGAGAACCACTGGTCTAGAGGACGTCCGAAAGGTTGTCCAGCTGTCAAGTCTAATTAGCATATTATGATTTTATTATTATATACTAGAGGCCCCGTTCATGGATTCAGACACAGAGGGGGTGCAGGTGGAAGGGGGATCCCTCAGTCTGGCCTGTGCCCTCTCACAATCCGGGACCCCTCATGGGATATAGCAGTGCTCCAAGTGGCAAGTGGCCAGGAAGGAGCCTGAGCATGTGTCGGGTGCTACACCATGTTCATCTTGGCTGCTGCACCTGCCACAGCTGCTCAATAGCCCTGCCGCAGAGCCGGAGAGGCTCCAGACACCGCAGCTGCCATCACCAGCCTTGAGCCCGGCTTCTGACTGAGCAGCATTCCCCCTGTGGAAGCGCATAGACCGCCAGGGGGCGGCTCCTGCATTGAGCATTAGCCCCCTGGTGGTCAGTGCACATCATAACGAATGGTCGACCAGTTGTTCTGGTCAATCGGTTGTATAAGTTGCTTAAACTTTTATATATATAGATGGTGTAGCAGATTGACATAATTTCCTACTTTGGTGCTCAGTAAATATTGAAATGAGGGGGATTTTCTTTGTGACTTAAATTTGAAAAAGAACTGAGTACTTCCTTGGTTTTGAACTTTGTTGTCATTTGAAATAAAATGATCACATGATCAGCATCCACATATCCATATTTTTCATCTGGAAAATATATCCACCACTGTAGGAATTTGTTATTGTAAAATAAATGAGTTAATAAAAGAATCAATAGATGAACAACCTCAAAGGACAATAGACATAGCTGACCCATGAGAGGAGGGGCTTGGGTGAAGTGCAGTGAAGGAGACTCAGCCCAGACTTTCACCCCTTCGTGCTCCTAAGATGCAGGAGCCCCGACACCAACCCCTCCTCCATGAAACCTGGGTCCCCAGGTGTTGGGAACATGGATTGTCTCAGCTGTAGGAGAATAAGTTCATGGGGTCTTGATCCTCAGACTGAACACAGAACTCACAACTCTTGTTATTTCTGAACTGAAACCATTTCTTACTCATCCTCAGTTCGTGAGCACAGCTAACTCTGATCAAGGTGACTCAGAGCAGGTGCTGAGTTCAGACATCAGAGGGGCACTGATGTCAAGGGGAAAGTGGGAGCCCAGGTTGAACATCAAAATCCTGGAGATTTGGGTCTGCCCTGATCTCTCTGACTTCTTTACCCACAATTCTTATTTTTCCATCCCCAAGACTACACAGTGGAGAATCTTATCCGGATTATTGTGGCTGGCTTAATCCTGGTGGTCCTTGGGGTGCTGCTATTTGAGGCTCGAAACAACCTCAGAATGACACCAGAAGGGCCCTCGATGCAGCCAGCATGTGAACACAGAGGGAACAACGCACCGTTCAGAGTGGGGGAGTCTTGGAGTCCACCTGAGGATCCCAGGAGGTGCTGAAGGAAAGTCGGGACCATAGTTGGGGAAACTGTCTGTTGAGAATGTCCAGAGGAGTAGACATGGTAGGTGAAGATTGGGTGCAGGAGAACGTGGGCCATGTCCACCTCCATCCACCTGGGTGCTCTCCCTCCTTGTCGTCGCTGACTCTCCTCCACTGCCCTTCTGTTCTCACCCTGTGATGTGAGGGTCCGTCCCACATGGCTGGTTTGGATTCACATCTATACACCCCTTCATGCTGGGTCACATCCAACCCAACACAATGTGGTATCTTCACAACCCTGGGGTTAGTTTAAACCATAAAGAACAAAGGACGGGTACCTGGTCCATAGTGGGAAAACATCATAATAATGCAGCTCAAGGACAGAAACCGGACACAAAAAATCAGGTGTTGTGTGATTTCATTTATGCGAAATGTCCAGGAGAAGGAAACCCACTGAAATAGAAATCAGATTGGTTTGTCAGGGGCAGACCAGGAGTGCAGATGGGAGACAGACTGTTTGGTCTTGTTGTTTTTTATGTGTGTGTGGTGGGGTGGCTTATAAAAACTTCTTGAAACTAGATAGACGTTGATATTGAGACATTGTTTCTTTACTGCATTATAGTGAATTTCATAGTTTAAAAGGCTCAATTGTATGTTATGTGAATATTGCATCAATAAAAATAAATGCAAGTGAAACACGCATGGTTCCCTGTAGCTCCCTTATACCTTAGATGTTGCACCACTTGTGTCCGTGGAGTTTTATGGAAGCAGGACTCACACCAGGTCAGAGGTGCCCTAAGTGCCTTAGTGCTTAGGGACCAACCCGTTGATGAAATTTCCACCTTCATTCCTGACTTGGGCTGAGTCTAGGTTCCAAATTGCCCTTCCCACCACAAGGGTCTCATACACAAGCCTTCATCAGGTCAGAAAATGACACCAGATTTCTGGCCAACATGGCTCAGTGGTTGAGAGTCGACCTATGAACCAGGCAGTCATGGTTCTATTCCCTGTCAAGGTACATGCCTGGGTTGTGGGCTCCATCCCTAGTGTGGGGCTTGCAGGAGGAAGCTGATCCATGATTTTCTCTCATCATTTATGCTCCTATCTTTTCTCTGCCTTTCCAGTCCTCTCCAAAATCAATAAAATAATTTTAAAAAAGAAAGAAAATGACACCAGATTGAGGTCCTTCATGTCTCAGGCACTTCTGATCCTCATAACAACCCTCAGAAGTGAGGTTTCACAACTTTTTCCAACAGGTAAACAGAAAGAGAAGAGACTGGTTCAAAATAGATGCTCAACGAATGTGTCCCAAGGTCTTATATTACAACCGAGGAATTGTCTCCAACACGCTCTTCTATCCAAAGCATGGCGATGGAATAAACAGAATTAGACAAAGAGGTACAGTCTGGGGGACAAGAGGCAGTGAGGAGGCAGAAAGGACATTGAAGGTTTGATGGAGAGCATGAACTACAGCCTCTGATTTACCTTGTAGGCTTGGGGGATACACATGTGGCCTCCAAATTGCCCTTCGCACCACAAGGGTCTCATACACAAGCCTTCATCAGTAGATGCTCAACGAACGTGTCCCCAGGTCTTATATTACAATCTGGGAATTGTCTCCACACGCTCTTCTACCCAAAGCATGGAGGTGGAATAAACAGCATTAGACAAAGATGTACACTCAGGGGGACAAGAGGCGGTGAGGAGGCCGAAAGGACTCTGAAGGTTTGACGGAGAGGGATGGAGAGCAGGAGCTCTGCTCACAGAGACAGGGAAGTCAGAGAGAGGAAGTGATAGGGAGAAGCAGCAGCACAGACCAAGGCTGGAGGGCAGTGCTGGTTGCCTCTGTGGGTGAGCTGACAGTGTTGTAACATCCCCCAGGCCTCCTGCTCCTCTTTGGGTCAACACTGAACCAATCCCACTGTTCTGGCTACCGGTTCTCCTTTCTGTGACCCAGTTCTCCCCACAGACAAGCTCAGGTGAAGACCCAGGACAGCTCCTTGGGGTGACCACACCAGCCTCCTTCTGGCCTCCTCCACACCCTCACTCTTGGCTCAGGTGTTTCATTCTCACAGCTCCAAACATACCTGTCACCGACTGTCCCCTGCACAAAGCTTGTCCACAGGTGCCCCCTGACTCCAGCCACATCCAGGGATCTCCACCCAGCAGTCCATGCTACTGACTATCAAGGTGAGCTACACTCTCCAGCCCCAATGACGCCAATGCCTCCTCCAACCAAACTCATCCCGTAAACCTCCTCCACTCCCCAACTCACAATTCAGGTTAGGACCACATCGTGCCTCCTCACGGGGCCTCCTGAGCCCATCAGAACAGAGATGCATGCTCTCCAAACCTCTTAGTCTGAAACAGCATACATTTATTCCAAAATGTATTCCCTACATTTTGGAAATAAAGCAACAGACTTTGCAATACTCAATGTGTGAATCAAAACAGAAATGAATGTTTTAGATTAAATGATAATGTAACTATTACACATAAAACCTATGAAATGAGCCCTGACTGCTTTGGCTCAGTGGATAGAGCATCAGCCTGCGGACTGAAGGGTCCCAGGTTCGATTCCAGTCAAGGGCAGTTTTTGTGTTTGCTCAAGAATCACAGTGGTTCCAAAAACAGGTTTATTTTAGTAATAATGTGAGATGAGTTGATATGCTTGTTGGTGGACCCTTGTCATGGCTTTGGGTTCTCGGTTTGATTCCCTTCCTCTCTGCAAAAAAATCAATAAAATATATTTACCCCCCCAAAAAACCCCTATGAAATGAAAAATATGAAATACCATGTGTGCTTGTGACTGTGTGTGTGTATGAGTGTATGTGTGAGTGTGTGTATGAATGTGCATGTGTATGAGTGTGTGAGTGTGTGTGTGTTCATGGGCAGCTATACCCATCTGTCTGAGGGAAGCAGAGGTGAGAGCTGAGGTGGGAGGGTCACATCTGGATGGTCATGATCAGCCTTGAGTTCAGACGGAAGAGCCTGGATTCACCCTGAAGACAGTGAGGACCATGGAAGGCTTTACGCATAAACAGTTTCTGAAAGGGAGTGGCAAGGGCGGGGGTGGAGGGTGAACTGGAGAAGGGAGTGAGGCTGTGGAGCTCAGAGCTCAGGAAGGTGGTGGACGTGACAGCTGCCTTGAGGGTGTGAAGGTGACCTCCCTCCCTGCCTTGTTGACTGGGGACACCAAGGGGCCCTCAGGACAGTGAGCCCAGGAGTGGGGGAGGGAGGAGCCTGGGGGCTGTGCAAGATGCATCTGCTCCCACAGGAAGCTCAATGCCTCCTCCTGGTCCTGGGATGCAGGTCCTACATCTCACACAGGTTCTACCTGACTTTCTGTCTCTGTGAGAAGCGGGATGTCTCCATGTCCCGGGGGCCAATAATCTGAGTCATTTCTGCCCCTTCAGAGCACCTTTGATGCCGGGTGTCACTCTCCTCTTCAAACTGTGGAGACTCTTCAGGATTCAGACAAGAATATCATTCATGGGAGTCCAGTTCCAAGGCAGCAACACACCCAGACACATTGAATATCAATAGTGGTGCTCCACATCCTGAATGGTTGAACAACACTTGAGCAGGCTACTTTTCCCCTTGACTTCTCAGCAAAACCAATACCTTCCCCACAAAGATGGTGAGAATTCCTCTCGACTGAGATATGGAGGAGATGAAACCAGCCATTCAATGCAGATGGAGACAGTGGAGGTTTGAGAAATTGAAAGGAAGAGATGCCTCTTCCAAAGGAGAAGAAGGAAGACTCCAGGTCAGACCCCTTGTGTGGAGTCACCTGGACCGTTCAGTGGGGAGGTCATGGCCTTTCCATTGCATGGCGCTGGGCCAGAGGGTGAGTCTCTAGGACACGGTGAACATCTTACCTGCCTCACAGCATTTGCAATAAGCATTGCCAGATGGGCGATAGACCAAAACATGAAAAGTCAATCAATTACTATTTCTTTTACTAAATTATCTTATTAACCTGTGAGAGAGAATTTTTTTTTCAAGAGGACACAAGAACGCGAACTTAGGGGGATGGTTGCAGGTTTGCTCCTCAACCCTCATGTGCGATGCAACCAATTGATGTCTCTTGGACATCAATGTTTTCCTCTCTCTCCTCTCTGTCTCTCTCGGTTTCACTCTCTTTACAAATCAATGGAAGAAAAATATCCTGGGGTGGGGATTAAAATTTTTTTTTTAAAAAAGTGCTGACCTTTTAAATCATTGAAGAAATAAATGTACATCAAACCACAGGGTGGTACCAATACTTACACTGAACAATGAAAATTAAAAAGGCAGGAAACATGAAGCGTTGGCAGGAATGTGAACCTACCAGGACCCTTGAATCAGGGAAAGTCGTGGAAATGCTGAGGCCACTGGGAATCTGCTCAGGAGATCTACACTGATAAAAGGGTAATATGCTAATTAGACTGCACGCCCCTCCAGACCAAGCCATGTTGGCAGGGGCTGAAGCAGAGGTGGTTATTGGCAACCAGACCAGCAGGGGAGGGCAGTTAGGGGTGATTAGGCTGGCAGGCGGAGGTGGTTAGGGGTTAGCAGGCAGGCAGTCAGGTGTGCAGTTAGGAGAGACTCTCAGGGGCTGAGTCAGGAACAGATCCTGGGTCCCGCCCTCTCTGAACAGGAGTCAGACCAACAGACACATGAAACCCTGAGGATCAGATGAGACCTCAGACACTGCTGACCAGCCTCCTGAAACCTGGACTCCATGTGAGCCTCATCCTGGGGAGATGCAGAGTCAGGCTCAGGGCGGGGCCCTCCATGGCTGTGGGTCCACAGCTGTGTAAACCCAGAAGGAGGCAGCAGCTCCTGACTCACCACATCCTGTGAGTCTCTGTCCTTCAGGCCCAGGACTCCTCCATATGCAGAGCAGAAGCCCTCAGAGCAGACGCCATGACGTCCATCCTCTCTGCTCTTCTCTGCCTCGGTCAGTTGTGGTCACAGGGAGGGGGAGTAGGAGGGGTGGCTGCCCATCCTACTCCCCCATGCTCAGGCAGCTCCAGTAGATGGGGCCCTGATGGGAAGGGAATCAGCTGAGACGCCTGGGTGCAAATCTCTCACAGGGACTCTCTTCCAGGGCTGAGTTTGGACCAGAGGACCCATGTGCAGGCAGGTGAGTCCTCAGCAGGGTCCATGTCCCTCCTCTTTCTTCACCCCTAGGGCTCAGGAGGGAGCACAGAGGTGCTGGGTTGAGAGGGTCTTGGGCTGAGCTGGGGGATGACAGCAGGGGAAGGTCTTTGTAAAGCAGCCTCTGGTTTCCTTTTAGGGACCCTCCCCAAACCCACCATCTGGGCTGAGCCAGGCCCTGTGATAAACTCAGGGACCTCTGTGACCATCTGGTGTCGGGGGACCCTGAAGGCTCAGGAGTACCGGCTGTATGCAGGTGGCAGGTACTTGAACAGACAGAAGTCCCTGGAGCCTGGAGAGAGGGTCAAGTTCCTCATTACAGGAAAGTATACAGAGAGATATACCTGTAACTACCTCAGCCCCACTGGCTGGTCAGAACGCAGTGACTCCCTGGAGCTGGTGGTGACAGGTGAGAGGGCACGCAGAGGTCCCAGTTTCAGGCTCTTCCCTCAGGGAGTCTGCTCTCAGGGTATCTCCCGTTTTGCATCCTAGCCCTGGGGGAATTTGAGGGGTGTGTGAGCCCAATTTAACATGCTGCCTCCTCGTCTCCTAGGATCCTACAGCAAACCCAGCCTCTCAGCCCTGCCCAGCCCTGTCGTGACCTCAGGAGGGAATGTGACCCTCCAGTGTGACTCAGTGGATAAATTTGACAGGTTCATTCTGACTAAGGAAGGACATCACAGGCTCTCCTGGACAGTGGACTCACAGCAACAACCCAGTGGGCGGTCCCAGGCCCTGTTCCCTGTGGGCCCTGTGACCCCCAGCCACAGGTGGACGTTCAGATGCTATGGCTATTTTGAGAAGCAACCCCAGGAGTGGTCGGACCCTAGCGACCCCCTGGATCTAACGGTCTCAGGTGAGCGGCCCCTGATCTCATCCTCTTTGAGCACAGGCAGCTCAGGGTCCCGCCCCCAGGAGACATCTGAGGTTGGAGGAGAGTGAGGGGTCTGAGTGTTGGTCACCCAGCAGAGATCCGCCCTCAGAGACCCTTTCACTTTTGCTGAATCCTCCCCATGAACTGGGTTGGGAAGTGGTTAAATGGGCGGGGGGAGTGTCTTCGGGGATCACAGAGCAGATGTAGGAGAAGCGATGGGGTGATTTGGAGACTCCAGAGTGATCCCCAGCCTCACCCCTTTCTATCCTTATTTCCAGGACCCCCGGGAGGCCCCAGCCCCGAACCCAAAGGGCCCACCTCCACAGCTGGTGAGTCCCGGGGAGCTCTGCTCAGAGGGAGCACAGCCCACCCAGCAAGTCCTGAGAGTCTGTCAGGGGTTTGAGTGACCCAGATCCTCAAGGACGGGCTTGTGTCCCAGGGGGGCTGGGAGTCCCAGGGTCTGAGGCACATGATGGGTTGAGTGGTCATGGCAGAGGGGGATGTGGGGGCATAGGCTGGAGAGAGGGTGCTGGGCTCAAGTGGGAGAAGGCAACCCCCATCACTCACCTGTCATCCTCATCCCCAGGAGGCTCTAAGTAAGGCCCACAGAGGGGAAGGTGAGAGTCCTTGGGGAGGTCCGGTGGGTTCCTCCATGGGGACAGGGGCTGAACCATGAGGAGTTAAGGGGTTCAGGCCCCTGTGGATTTGTTGACCTGGACACCGCTTCCCCTGTCCGGCCTTCGGTGTCTTTAAGTGTAAAGGAGAGAATCCTTACCCAGAGCTTAGATTTCCTGTCAGCTCTTCCCTGACCTCCTGGGAAAGGGGCCTCACAGGGACCCCCCAGGACATGATGTTATGGGGCCTGTCCCCTCTGCCTCAGTGACGGTGACACTGTACAGGGAGGTACAGGCAGACAAGGGTCTGGGCACCCAGTCCTACCCCTCAGCTCAGGCTCAGCTCAGAGGAGGGAACAGGGGGGATCAGCCCTGG